TGAGTTCCCCAAGGAAATCTGGGATTTAAATCTAGGAAGCCCAGAATTCCCCAGCCAGCCATGCTGGCTGGGGAATTCTGGGAGTTGAGGTCCACCCCTCTTTAAGTGGCCAAGGTTGAGAAACACTGATCTAAAGTTTGCTCCATAATTATTCTGCCCAGTCATTCTCTTGGATTGTCTTCTTGAATTGATCTCTGCTTACGCAATCCACCATTTTTATTTATCCATGACACATATTCTTTGGCTCAACTTTTCTTGAAAGAGCTTGAACTTCTGGACATTCAGATCCTCCTTTTGGCCAGAATCCCTCTGGAGACTGATGTAGTCTGAGAACCTGTGGAATAGAGAGGGTAGAGAAACTCTACTTGGACCCCCTCTCTCACTGACAACATTTCCCTTTACTGGACGAAAATGGGCAGTAATTTATCACAAGCAGTCCAAGTCTGTTTTATTTCTCTTTATCTTTTGTATAGTCAGGATAACAACCTGCCTGGCTGTAGTTTTGCACTTTTATTGTTTATTTCTACAATAAAAGATCTTGGGCACTTGTTTATCACCGTGTATCTTCTTGCATCAACATATATTGAAGGCTGAGTTAATACGTTAGAACTGAAAAGATTGGAAATAAAGTTAAGCTTTTAGTTAAACTGAAGAGGTGCTTTCCTCCTTGTTCCTCTATAAATAGTCTTGAGCTCACACAATGTTAGAGATTAGGTCAGGACCCATAAGTGCACAGAAATACAACTCCGCTTATAAAAGGTAACTTTGCATAATTAAAACGAAGATGTTGGAAAGCTCAAGCAGAGAAAAGAAAGCCATAAAAGAATTTGATCTGTCCTTGGCATTTGTCTGCATTTTATTAACATATGAGTTCACTATGTGGCCCTAGTCCATTCTCCAACCTTGAGTGGGAAGGCGCTTGTTACTGAATAGGGCTTTAATTTGGCACACATAATATTCACATTTCTAACTGTCCTTGGAACTCACCTCAGTACAGACTCAGATGTATCCCAGGATTCCTCCTTGATTCGTTCTATGTCACCCTAAATTATACTATAAGAGTCTTTATGTCCTCAGTTTTAACAACTTAGTGTAAAAAAAAAGTTGCTTTTCTATTTTATTTATTTACTACAGTTTCTATGTTACTCAATCTAACAATGCTCAAAGCAGCCTACATCAACAGAAAAAACTCTAAATACAACATTAAAATAGAAACTGTCATAGGCAACAAAACAGAGCAACAGTGTCCTGAGGAACAGCTGCAATGTCCAATCCATAACAGGAGTGTCTCCCTCTTCACTGATTTATTCCAAGACTCTATGGAAAAATCATTTTTAATGGCTTTCCAAAAAAAAAAAAAGTAGGGTAAGAGTCAACCTAATCTTGGGAGGTATATTTTGCCGAAGCATGAGGACAGGAACTGACAAAACTCATCTCCATAGTTCCCAAAGATGACAGTCCTTAAGAGAAGGGATCCAGAGAGAGCACATGCTCTCTCTGATTATTATTTTTAGCACCAGTTAGGGTTTCAAATGCATTTTGAGTTCTCCTTTTGGAAGGAGCATTGTGTAAACGTAGGATATTTCTCGTGGTCCAGGTGCTCTGAATAGGGAATCTTTAGCTATCTCAGTGGAGAATTAGCAGAGATCATGTATTTAGGGAGCACCCAATTGGGGAAGGCAGATTTCCATGTTGATTGTTTTTCTGTTCTTGCCTCACCCCAACTTCTTAAGAAGGTTTAATTTAGAGGACCCTTCAAGGAAAGAGAAAGTGAGGACAGGTAAGAGGAGGATTTTCTCAGAAGTAGGCTTGAGTCCAGCAGCATTAAAAACAGAAGCCACAGAGCCTGGTGATATCTAAAACAAGCATTGTTCTAATGTGAAACAAATTGCTTTCTTCACACTCCTTCCAGCCCTGTTTTCAAGAAATTGAAAAGTTTGATCTTTGGAGTTCATATCGAGCAAATGCCCTTTTTGGTGGCCAACATCTATCCACCTAATGAGACTGCTTCATTCCATCCCCTGCTTGAATATCCTAATCTGATAATCCTGACGAAAGCCTGGTGTTTAAAGGTAATAAGGTTATTATTTTGTGTCCTTTTTCTCTCCCTCTCTCCCCAATAGGAAGCAATTAATTTGTTGGAACCAATGACAAACGATCCTGTCAACTATGTGCGTCAAGGGGCTCTGATTGCATCTGCCCTTATCATGATCCAGCAGACAGAAATTCTCTGCCCAAAGGTGAGTGACAGATCTTCAGCCACGGAGGTATGCGAGAGGACCTGCCAAAGAAGATAGAGGAGGAGGAATTCTGAAGATGCTTTTGTTTTGGCAAGGCCTTTCGTTGAGGTGTGCTTGTTTAATGAACGTTGAACACTTCATTTGAGTAAGGAGGTTTTGAGTTCTGTCAGTTGCGAGGAAGGATGGTATATGAGCATCTAAGCATCAGTCCATCAAGATTGCCCTGACATCTGGCCTCGTAAATTAGGGATCGCCAATCTCATCTTTTTCAGAAGGCAGGGAAGCTTATGTTCGAATGATCACTGTTTTTCAGCATTCTTTAGAGTTAAGAGGCTAAACATTTTAGTGGTCTCTTTGGAGCACTTTAGAATGTGGAGTATAGACATCCGGAAGCTGAGGTCAGGGCAACTGAATGGGGGAGCAATCCTCCATGTCCTTTTTACCTTTTTGGAAGGAAGGAGTTCTACTGTTATATAACTGTGGGTTAGGTTCTATTTTAGTCCAGATATATTCCATAATTCAGCTAAAAACCAAAAAGAAAATCAGTATCAATAAAAGAGAAGTAGTACTGAATAAAACCAGTACTGAGTAAAATCAGTAGTACTGAGTAAAACCAGGATTCAGCTTTATTCTCCATGCAAGTTAGCAGTTTTACAAATGTACCCGATTTGATTGTACGTGAGGTTATCTAGTTCAAGAAATGTTGTTACTTATTGCGAGGCTCAGTTTGAAATCTTCATAAGAAACAAGCTAAGCTTGTTAATGGTGGCTTTTTAGAGATTTCTTAGAGGTTGCAGGTTTGTAAGTTTATACAAGTCATCTCTTTTAAATAATGTATTGTGATGTTGCATAATGCATTCCAAGTTGTTTTTTTTCTCTTTGTTTGACAACTCAGGAGTTTATAGCTCAGGGTTCTTGGCCCAATGGATGCAGGTGCTGTGCTTGGCTAGATATTGCAACCAGACGTAGGAATGGCATTGCTCACTCTCAGGAGTTCATGAGCAGAATTTGTATTCTGAACTAGTAGAATGCTGGATTGCACGTGGAAGAGTAAAGAGAAGCTGAGTGATACAGATCCAACTGAATCAGTGAAAGAAAACATCTATTATAAAGAATCAGAGTAGGAAGCAACCTGGTTGGCCATCCATCTCAGGTGCCTTCCATGAGGAGGAAATGGTCTTTACTTAGAGTTTTCTTTATAGATGCTCATGCAGTATCTTCTTGGAAGTTTTCAAAGCAGAGGGCTCCAAACTAACATTTCCTCTGTTGAACTGGTCTCTGCATTTGCCTTGCCTTGCCTTGCCTTGCCTCCCTTGATTCCACCTGGTCTACACTCGGTGTGCCATGGATGGAATGGATAGGTTGTTCCTCATCTGCTTAGTTTCTGGCACACCCTCCTCGTGGATTTCTTCTGCTCTTACTCCCTTCTCTGAGTGTAAGCAGTTCCTTTCCTCTCTGAGTAAGCTTTGAGCCTAGATTCTTTCACCTCACCACAGCTTTTCAATACTGATAACCTTTAGGACTTGAGTTGCTGTCAACGGAAATGGGTCTCGAGCCACCGTCTTCGCTGGATGCGTTCCTTGGGAACAACCATGTGCCTTTCAATACCCAAAGAGCAATATGTGTACAATATTGGTCTTTGAGATTGGCATACAGTTACTAAAATAGCCAAGTTTACCACTGGAAACCTGCCTTTTTCTTCTGAATTGAACAGTCACTGAAAAGACTCACAGCTCAGCAACAAAAGTTTATATTTGGGTGGATCAAATTTAATGCCCAGTTTAAAAGTATCTTGGGGGGAAAAACTCTGCCTGAGACCTTGGAGAGCAATGGCAGCATTATGCTGGGATGTGTGGATGTCCCATAACCTTGCAAATAAGTTCACAGACTGCTAGCTGACAAAAAAAGTTTAGATATGAATGAATTTAAAAGCCCCTTTTAAACTAGGAGCTGCATGAGGTATATGGGTTGTGTCCTCCCTGTCTGAGTATCAGCCCTTCAGTGTAGGCCAGATTAGGATGCCAGAGTTATGAATGCTAATATTACTTTTATTATAACATTACAGTAACAGAATCTTGCCAGTCTGAGATGTTTACTCAAATTACATTTCTTCCCCAGACTCATGTTTCATGTATTTGACCATTGCCTTGGTTGCAGCTCTTCCTCAGGGTTATTCTTACTGCCCATTACAGTTAGAGGGGATGCAGGTCCATATGGGAAAGGTTAAGCGTCCCTCGCTTGGGCAAATGAACAACTCTCCCAGCGTAACTCCATCTTGCCTGGATTAAGTCTGAATATTGGTCCTCATCTGGTCAATGATCGTGACCATGAGGTAGTTCACATCATCATCTCTTGAGATAAACCTGGAAGTTATCTGCATACCTGGTGATACCTCAGCTCATGTAGGTTTTAAATAGCACGGAGGAGTAGAATGGAAGTCATTGTAATTCCAAAGCAGAATTGCCAACGCAGCTCCCACGTCTCCAGTCCTTTTTTCAGGAGAGACTGTTCCATGGGTTAATCCAATCCCATTTCAGTTGCAAAACCAATCTGAAACGGACTTAGAAGTGGATCCAGAAACTCAGTTTCATCCAAGTATGTCTGCACCTATCCAGCAACTGCAAACTGAAGGAGAAGATAATGTGGTTTAATTTTGTGTGTGAGCTCTTCAGTTTTCTATTTTTAATTACATCATTATCAGTTCTGCTATTCTGGTCATTGTCCTGGGAACATGAATTTCTGTGGTAAATGCACGATGACTAAATTTTGAAAAGAAAGAGATAATGATAATCCAGGCCTTATGAATCACGTTCAGGCAAAGGAAAAGGTAACCACATACAGTGTAAAATGACCTTGTGTTGCATGATTATCTTACATTGCTGGACATTGACCAGTTTCTCAACTATGGAAACATCAGACCTCTTTTACAGATCCACCCAGGAAACTTTAGGTTCAGCTGTTTTGATCTGCTGAGTCCAGTGTTCATCCATATTCAAATGGATTTGTAAGTTTTGTGCTGGGGGGGAGGATAAATAACTGTTTTTAAGGGAGACCGATGCTGAGAATATGCTCAGATTGGGATCACTGAATCCTGCCTTGGTGATCAGCTTCTGAAAAAGCAGATGTCGATGCTAAACTTGATAATATCTGAGGTGCCTTGGTTCCCATTTCCAGTTCTCACTTTCAGCTCTGACCTCTTATCTTGAAAGCCCTGCTTTGGACAGATCCTTTTCCAGTCCGTTGATTGGAGGATGGCTACGCAAGCCGTCGTGGTCTACCCCATACTTTGGTTTGTGTTGTACATCCTAAAATAGTATAGGTCTTTCTGTCAGTGGCTGGATGTTGATTCAATATGTTAATTGCTTAAACTTCCTAGGAGGAACGACTGCTCAACGTCTGCTTATGCGTTTGCATTTTTAAAATATCTGGATGATGAGGATCATGGTCACGGAGAAGGAGAGCTTGTGTTTGTAGCCACTGAACCAAGCCTGACAGTTTGTATGGGTGCCATATTTCTTTTTGTGTCTTCTGCATTGTCATACTTTTCTATCTCAGGAAGTCGGTCTTGTGCTGTTGTCCCCGTTAACAACCACCTTTCCCGTACACACCTCTCATTGTTATTGGGCCCTTAGCAACTAAAGGTTGGATTTCCTGGGAAAGCCGCCTTGTTTTAAGTTGGTGAAGCAATATAAAAGGCAAAATTATTTCTCAAAGTAGCACTTTGGCCCTTGTGGTTGTTTAGATTTAAAATAGTCCACCTGTAGCATAAGACATCTGAGAATTTCCAAATTTCTAAGTTTCCTGATTTATACAAAAGTTTTAAACTAGAAGCTTAAAGTGAAACATCTTGGCAGGTGTTCTAGCTCTCTGGTGTATATAATGTCATTGGTTGATAGATTGGTTATAACAACATCAGTGTTCTCTTCCTTTACAAGTTACACTTAGCTGAGAATTTGTTGGTCCTCCTTTACGAGAACAGAGCTTTCTCAGTTTCCTGTAGCTATTCCTATGTTATATTTTATGGCAGAACTATGCAACATGTTGAACAAAACGTAGAAGCAACACACTGGCTTGAGTTGTCTGCAGATGGGCAAGAAAGGTATTTTGCAGGGAGGATGTGGGGTTTACTTGCAGCATTCTCTGGGGGCGAAGGGAATTGTATAATACAGGAAAGACAGATTGCATGCTTTAAGAAAGACTTTTTAAGGAGACAGTCTTTAAAAAAATCAAATGTTATCTGTAAAGAAACTTAGTCACATCATTAGTCAGACATTTTTTACTATTTTGCGTAATTTATTGATAAGAAAAGTGAAGAGCAATAACAGGAATTGAAGCTTTGCCACCAAAAGTTGGAAAAACATGTTCAGCATCTCCTCTGGCTTCTGACATTTCAACAGACGCTGCTCACAGAGTCTCAGACTTTCAAACAACAAACTATTTTTTTAAAAGGGGGGGGAGCCCTAAATCTTGGGAAACTGAACACTTGGTGAGGTTGTTCAGCTTTTCTGGGTTCCTTAAGATTTGGCAAATGTATTACTAGTCTTGAGAGGATGGATTTTTGACTTGGTTTTATTCTGAAGAATCCACAAATGGTGTCAGCAGTTATCAGAGATCTAATTCAGGCAACCAGTCTAAAAAGCAGCTTGTATTACCAGAGCTTTAACTGAACAGTCAAAAGAAAAAAAGAGTTGTGTGACTGTTATGTAATTGCAGAAGCTTCTGATGAAACAGGCTGTTACCCACAAAAATTGTAGTCTCCTGATTTGGGAGTGAGCACAGTTGTGTTGTGTTAGCTAAAAAGTGGAATTCAACCCATTTTTTCCCATCTGGAAAGGAAAGGCAGGTTACCTATACTCAGGTATGTATTGTTGGGTCTGGGATCTGATGGTCCTTGATGGTGTGTCAGAAATTTTAGGTGCAACAAGCTTGTTTGTTTTTCCAGTTGGCTGTCTGTCCTCTGTACGGAGAACCTTGTTATGTAAAAATAATCCTGAAATTGGAACCTGATGTGGAATCTCTTGGATTCAAGCCATGTTGACCTTTGCGTGTATGAAAGT